GAAGAAGAGACTAAACAAACCAATCAGATATGAATTAAACTGTCAAATACCAAGCGGTCACCGGTGACCGCAACCTATTGTTCTATAATTGTGTCTGCAAAACCGGTACTCGACGAGTTAAAATACTTTAACGTGGTCTTGTGATCAAACTTGTCACTAATGCAATGTAAAAGGTAGGTAATATGCTATTATTATATTTCTTTAACCTCAAAATAATCAAAACCACCAAATTATGCCCGTATAACCCAACAAACTCAATATTTACATCACTTTAGTGTCCACTGAATCTTATCTATGGCAAAAAAGGCTATCTTTCCACGGTTTCCAATACACAAAGACGAGCATCCTTATCGAAACAGTATCAATACCACGGCGCAAACAATGCCATTGGCAACACACAGTGGCACATTTTCATGTCAATAAGGAAACGTTGGAGCTTCCCTACTGCCATGGGAAAGGCAGAAATTGTGTCAGCTGTTTTTTCCCTTGGCAAGTTTGCGATTCCGTGTCAACAAAGGAAATAGATTGGATTAGTTACTTTGTTTGTGAGCGACGAAGCGGATGTGATGTTATGCGGTTACGTTATTCTAGAGATGTGTGAGATTTATTTTGCTGAAATGTGATTGAATAAAAATTACATCCACTACAGATGTCAATTACTAAAAAGAAATAAATAATATGTCTGTTAAATCTCAAATAACACTTGAAAATAAAGTATCGGTAACCTATTGCCTTGAACACAAGTGCCCTATTAACGGTATTCAAGGGCAATATGTGGGCCAAGGTTATTCAGTTGCATTTTTAAATAAGTAGTATACCTACTTTCAACCTGCATGTACAACTTCTCCGCTTAAGGGGTATTATTTATCTAGGTCAAGGTCAATCAACTGCATTTTTAAAAAGGTTTGAGTAGACGAGTTGCCTGTGTTACGGCTACTGCGATGCACGTGGTCGACGAGGGGGAACTAGTTAGGTTATTCAAAATAAATTTTGCTTTAATACCGCACGATATAGTGTAATCAATACTTTCGCAGTCATAAAATATCAAGAGATACGTGCGGACAGTCACGTCAATTACGGACTAGATAATTGTGACTCAATATAATTTATATTTTATTTATCAACAGATTACGCCGTACATTCCAAATATTTCACATGAGAATGTTCAAAATTATCTACATCTAAATCCCTAAGGCACACAATTAAGATCATGATAAGCGTTTTCGTTATTAGTTTTGACCTTGGTAAGTACTAAAACTATAAATACATTTCTAGAAAAAAAATACGAAACGCGGTAATTTGACGTTTTTATAGGCGCCGTGAACTCGACCTTAATAGTTGCCAGTTGGGCAGGCGGATACACGCGAAACGATCAACAATTAACGAAAATTAGAACACGGCTCTCACGCGAATACGTCTCATAGTTTAAAACTTTTAACATCTGTAAATTAATCTTCCCAAAATTCTAGATGAGTATGTAGGTCAACAAATATTTGTCCTATCCCGATGCCGGACGGAATAGCACAGAATGCGGACGCTCTAAAACTAGTTCAAGTAGTCAAACTAACTTTATATTCGTACCATTTTTAGTCGGAATTTCTGAAATTCGACCTAAAGTTGAAGCAAATGGAATAGCTGATGTCGGTCTATTTTATAGTTTGTTTTGCTCGTAATATAAAAACTTATAACTTTAAAAGAAAAATATTACTTAACTTCATACCCGTATAACACAAATTGTAACCACGGTTTTTTATAAAAGAAACCAATTAGCAAAAGTAGTATTTTCAACAAAACGTATTTCGCAATACACACACACTTTCCTATAATAAAGCATAACAGAAATTCTTTTATGCTTCAATATCAAAAATATAAAGTAGGTACTTCACTCTTTGAACATTAAGTATTTTTATAAAAGACCTGCCAAAGGCGCTTTGATGGTTTATACTCGCGATATTTTATCCCCCGTGGTCAAGAACGGCGTATAGCCGAGATTTTTCTCTTGTATCTCGTAAAGAACGCTGTCCTTGTATGTGAAATATTTAGAGAGGCTGGACTCGAATAAATTCAGAGAAATAGCGATGGCGAACAGCGTACTGCTGAAATATACGATGTAGGTTGCCATGTTTTATCTGCTTTCTACTTTATCCTACTTTATTTAGGTAATAGTAACGTACTGCTTGCGATAAGCTTGATATTTATGGACAATCCAGTTTGATTAGTAAGAGTGATACAATACATAAGTCTGTCCTCTCAATTTTATATCGTGATGACAATGACGACATCGTCCAATAAATAATTTTGTATCTATTTCAGAAAGTACTACAAAGATTACAATGACAAATGAAAGGGAAAACGTGTGTATCAGAAGGTGTGCATGTGTTTCAACTACCTATTTGCGTAACAGGTGCCAAGATGAATTTGGCACGTGCTTATAAAACAATAATTAGTATTTTGATGAACGTAATAAACTAGTGCTATTTTGAGATTTAACTATAAATATAATATAACCATTAAATTTGAAGATATTTTAGGGATAGACTCGCACCACCCACTTAAATACTGTCTAATTTAAGCTATACGTTGTAAAATAGTAGTATATTTACACTCTGAAGTTTCGTACCCTATTTTTTTCATAACTATCTATATTAAAAATATAACTTTGATAATAACCACGAGGCTGATTGGCTGACAGTCACGTAATTCAGACATAAGAAGCAACTACCTACATAGAATAGTATGTATGTGCTGATATATTTTATTTTTTACTTATCTTGACCTGAGAACGCAAGACGACGACGCTCGTTAAGTAGCACCTGTGTCCTCTTATACGACACATTTAATATTTATTATGGAAAGGTCTAGCTAGTGCCATTATTGGTGACGTGTCGGAGCAAGTTAACGACAATATTAAATTTGTCTAGGTATTTAATTCACGTAACTTATTCATAATACGGATAATTTTGCAACAAATTGTTTTGGGGGTCTTATGAAACGTCCAGTAAGTCCACACGGAGAATAGACCAATAAACTTATAGAAATTAGTTAAATAGCAATTCCAAACATCATCCGTGAGTAATATTTATGAACATAATATATATAAGTACTCATTATATATGAATGATAATAATCTTTGCCATAGAAATCTATCGATCAGCAAAGTCATCGACCTTAGGAATCGATAATACCTCATGAAGAATTCAAAGAACATAAAGCAAAATTAAGGCACTAATATGTCGAATCTTATAATAACGACCTATAGAAACTTATAATAACCTATAGAAACATTACGTACCTAACTATACTCTTGCCGCACTAATTAATACAATTATCACAAGCAAACACTACTTGAGAGAGACAGAGATAAGGGATAATACAATGTAGTAAGCAGTTATACATAATATAGCTGATAATACGCGCACAACAGCGGTGACAGAATACAAACACGCCTTATAATGAACATAATGAATAATAAGTAATAACACGTTTTTTATCGTCTATGAGCAATTGCCTCATTCAAATATTTATAGCGTGGAACATTCGTTTGTAACTTTATGCTTTTTTATTATAATATCTCTTAAAATATGAGGTTTCTAATAAGGTATGCCAGATGGCAATAATACAAATAAGTAATATCGGAATAAAGTAGTGCCTAGCGGCTAGCAGTGACCAGTGGATTTCGTGGATTTTGATCGGTGTGCACCTGATTAATAAAAGATAGAATAGCATCAGCATTTAACTGAGAAAAACTGGTCAGAAATCATACTAATAGTACTACCAGGGTGCTTATCTCAATATCAATGCAATTTCGATCTAATAAAATCTCAATAATTATTCAACGTCAAAACTATACAACCCTTGTCGTAGCTCTTACAATAGCATTCAGAGTACAGAATGTAAAGTCAAACTCAATAACATTTAGTTTATTAAATATCCACGCAATACGGATGCAATGGGCCCTAGTGTCGCAATTCAAGAGTACGAAATTTCACAATACCAATGTCGATCGATCGGAATTGGATTCAAGAGTAAGCCCTAAGGTCTTGAATATTGGATATTGGTCGAATAGTAATAATAAAGAAATAACTGCTTAATGACCGAGTGGAGTATAACTCTTATAAGTCACAATGTACGTCAGATTAAACCGATCTTGATTTTTAATATGAAAGTTGAAACTATTACCAAAAATGATTTATATATCAGACACATTTAACTGTACCTTAAAGTACCCCTTCCCTTAACTTGAATTGTAATAGATGATGATGAAGTTTTTTCAATCAATTAACGTCTAACGAACAAGTTTTCATTAACAGTAACTAATATTTTGGTGGTTTTTGTAGGCATTAGTATATTTGATTGATAATGGCGCCTTCCGTTCTCATAGTGTAATATGTCAATTACCAGTGATTGAATTGAACGCCCACATCGCTAATCTGTTTTGTGAAGTAGTTTTTGTTCAAGTTATTGGTACTTACTACTAAACGATTTGCAGTGTAATTGGAGGTAATAAGATTCTTTGGTTTGGTAACTATAACACAGCCAATACTAACTTCATCTCGTCTTTAAGTCAGCCATGTTTAAGTAACTGGCAACTGTTTAAAATGATTGATTGCTTCATCTATCCTAATCGGGTTAATGATATTCCACGGACGTAAATAGTTGTAAAATATGACATTGTGACAGTAAGTGATATTTTGAATCCAGCCTGTTTAACCTCATGGCCAAAGTCATTTTTGATGCTCTCTTTGAGAACTCAGTAATCGAATTTTCCTATTACTTATATAGATCTAGATTTTAAGCGATACATGTCCTGTACTTGATATGATCACCTGGATTTATCGTCCTACATACTGAACAAAGAGGATGATACAAATTGAGTTCATAGTGCACTGGGTGATGAAAATGAAGTGTAAACTCTCTTTTCTCTAACTGTAATGGAATTGGTATGTTCATTTAAGGTTGTAGAGTTGATCGCACGTACTGAAGTTTAAAATCCAACTAACCAGCGCTGCTCTTGTGATGTAGTCAGGCCGCGATCACCGCTCCATCGGCACACCGGCATTGACTTGACGCCGGCGTCGGCGCCACTGCGGACGCACGCACGCACACACACACACTGGCACTGTCACAGGCACTAGGCAAGCCGACACGAACACTCGCGCACCACACTGTATGGACACACGACACGACGTAGGCGGCGTTGCCGTCCGCAACTTCACTGATCACTGCGTCCAAATGCTTTCACTGCACACCTGTAACAAGTAATAAAGAACTATTACACTTTGATCACATTATTACTTTAGTAATTAAAAGGACAATTAAGTTTTTGACTATAGAAAACCGTTGAAGGCAAATCTTTCGCTAAAATCGGTCATCTGTGACTGTGACCCCCATAGTGTTTAACATTAGAAAATCTTACAAAGTATTATTTTACAGAAACTAAGGAAAATGAATCAACTAAAGGGTACAAAACATACTCCACATAAAGGGGAAATGCACAAGAGAAACACACAATAGTCCCACAACAAAAAATGCTGCATATGCAAAGTAAATTACGCACTACATTCATCTGATTAAACCCCTTCTTTCAGAAGGATAAACGACCCTTAAACTCTTACAATACGCTCGTGTGCATGTTAACCGGCGATGTTCACTTATAAAAGGGTTGCATACATCGCCCCATCTCCCTAGATCGTAACAGGTTGGTTGCAAAGGGTCAAAGGTTGATGAACTTTCTGCAACACCGTGAATGGCAGAAAAAAGTATGTAGGTACATTTTGTAATGTAAGTAAAATAAAGTGACGTTATCGCAGTACATAAAATAATACAACATTAACATTAACTACATCTCCGTGGTCTGAGTCGTAGTATAGTTTTACGTGGTTACGCCTGGTCGTAGCGTCGATCTCGTAGACGTAATATTTTACGGTCTATAAACGTTGGACGGGGGAACTACATTGTTGCTTTACAGCGGTGGGCATTACCTGCATTGTTTCCATACAAGCTTACACGTACGATACTATGGTATGAATGCTAGTATGTAAACACGCTAAGCGATTTCGTATTCACTATTGATGGTCTGCCGACAAAGGAGTTCTGAAATGTTTTGTCATTAAAATTGTCACAGTCCCTGCATACGAGCGTACGAGCCGTCTTTAAAGTTTTATGTGAAAACTTCTCTTTGAAGCCGTCTAAAATATTGTGAGAACTCAATTCTAAACATATTCTGGGGACATTGTCCTTAGGAAAACTGTGAGCTATGAATTAATTATGTATTTATCGAAGTGGTATCGATCTATAATTTGTTGTTACTCGTGTCAGTGAATAAGATCTATTTATACACTTGTACAAATTGAACGTTGACACGTGTAACGTCTAGTTCAATTGACAGTATTTACACCTTTCAAATAACACGACAATAGACAAGTATATGATATTAATCGATGTTTGATTACCGAAATCTTTCACTTATAAAATGTCCTAATTAATCAAAGAGTATCTGTGGAGGATCAAATTAATATATATTGTTAGAAAAGTATTAAAAATTAGATAACTTTCCCTATAATCCCCGTTAACTACTAATAACTTTGCCAACTTCGTCGTGTAACTAAAAGTTGTGAGCGCGACTGCTCAACTTACAGAAACATGCCACTGTGACTTCGTAAGTAAAGTTATACGCTGAAACAGCGTCCGTGTGTTCACTATTGCCTTTATGCAAACATAAAAACAATAGAAACTTCTAAACAGGTCAGGCTTGCAAACTGCGAACAGATCGCCGATTCATATAATCCCTTGTAAACTTCGCATCAACTTCGCGTCGCAACTAAAAGTTGTGAGCGCGAGTGTACATTGAACAGAGTGCGACCGGCTACAGAGCTGTACAGATATCTACGCTAAATGTACAGTAATTTCCGTAAAAAGCATCTGTCTGAGAGGGGAACAACTCGGCCGAAGATTACGGGCCTGCCCAACTAAATGAGAAAGTTTTAATTGATCGCACAGACTAAGACGCTACTACGATAATAATAACTCACTAATGTAACAACTTTATATAAGAGGATTTACTTGTGTAAAAATATTATTATTGTTGAAACTTTATAAATTCCGGTTAGCTGTATTTCGTATTTACATAAGCGTATGTATGCTATAAATAACACATCTAGCTAGACAATAACTTGGCTCTCTTAGATTCATTTGAATTTCTGATTCAGCTTTGTCTAAATGCGTATCAGTTCGAGATAAAAATAAAACTGAATCTAGAGTAAAAGTTGCTGGAGTTTTATGGACCTTTTTATTTTGTCTGATATTATCTTCAATTTAAAGAACGAAACTTAAGTAGTACTTAAAAACGCAATTTGAAACAATAAGACATTTTAAGTAAATTGTATTCGCAAGCTAATATTATGGTCTTAAAGACATTCCAAACGTAAACTTGATAGAAACTAAATCTACTTTTCATAGCAAGTCATGTGAGTGGTCATTAGTCGAACATGACAGGTCCGAGACGAGAGCTCGACAGAGTTGATCGATCAGAAACTGTTCCGTATGGACAACCCTAGGCCATATGCGGAGTAATTGTACGTTCGCTTCGTTCCGTTCCCAAGATTTCAACAGTTAGTCTGGTAACTGTAAAAACTGTCCGTTCAATTATAAGATAAGTGCTACTGATAATGATATTGAGCTGTCAGTAAAGCCAGCTGGTTGAGTAATGGCGGCGGTTATTTTCCAATTTTACAATGAAACTGTGTTTTGTGAGATGTGAAGATAATGTTGTGTTTTCGTCTCTAGAGACTGGATTACTTAATTTCCGTACTCTCCATTATCACAATAATTTTTATTGTTTAACATTACTTTCGTATCATGTCTGCGCGGGTGTATAAAACGAAAATTAATGGTACTTTGTTGCCACGTAACTGGTGAACGTTGCGAGCTGTTTTATTTGAGCTCGCCGCCTTGCGGTGCAATTTACGTTTACTTTAAATCCATTTATAAGCGTTCACGTATCTTTGTAAAAACCGCATCGTGAGCTGGAATGTTCTAAATGCTAACCGACTTAGGTATTTATTTGAAAGCAAAATAAATCCGTAACGTAGGTAGTTTAAATTCAAAGTGAGCTCAAAGCAGAACTTTTAATTCCTTATGGTGCGGCGTTCCTCCGGGTTGCGAGCCGGACGGTCGCATAAAGAACACCGCATACATCTCAAACTCTTGAATCCACTTCGGCCGAATTGCCGTCCCGACAGATAGATGTGTGCAATCCACCAATCTGTTTAATTAACGTTCGGGAAACGTTTTCTTATCGACGAATGGCGATGGTTACTTGAAACCAATAAATTGTTATTGCACCTCGGGTCGTTGGACTATCGATTGCAGAGGTTGGCTGTGAACTTTGTTCCAAGGAGACTAACGTCAAATGACTTTTGGCAAGGTTTTCTCTACGCCTTACTGGCTTTTTTAACTATAAGAAAATTTTACTAGTACGAATGTTAACTTTAAATTTATGTTAAGATTCTTTTGATAAATGCCTGCCATAATTTAACTGCACGGTTGGCGAGGTGGCTGGGCAACTGGCTGCCGCGCAACGTATCGCAGGCTCGATTCCCGCACGGAACAATTCTTTGTGTGATCCACAGATTGTTGTTCCGGGTCTAGGTGTCATGTGTATGAGAACTTGTATTTTTGTAAATGCACCCACGATACAGGAGAAAATCCTAGTGTGGGGCAATGTTTAAAAAAAATGCGTTTAATCAATCCGAAATATGTGTATGAAAAATGAACTAAACGACAACAGCTCTAGTTCCAAATGCTTTCTAAAATCGATCGTTTGGAGGGAACCCAGTTAGTTCCACACACGTCAAATAAAACCCCTTTCACCGGCAACATGGGAGATATAGGACCGCTTTGTCCGACCACAGAGCTAGTTGCCGATATTATCAGATGAGAGACACAGACCCGTTTCCGTAGTAGACACACTGAATTACTGTGTACAGACCCGATAGCATTTTGAGGGTACACCGTACGTCTCAGTTCGTTAATTGGAAAGCGATGTTTAATTACAGATATCTGTGTTCGTCCTTCTGAGGGTAGTTGCACAAACATGATAATTTACTGGCACGCGGTAATCTTTGACAAGCGATCCCTTTGAGACGGTATTGATTGCGATGCTCCCTCGAGTAATGTAGGCAGATAAGACAATGACCAATTACCATTTGATTAATTACGCTAGACAAGCCTACCTACGTGCCGGGATCTTATTGATTCTCTACACGAAAGGATAGTCTTTACTCATGAAAATGTTCACTTTTTCTTGGAAACTTGGGCATATTAAATACGTTGGAGTATTTGAGTAGTAGGCAAATAAAATGATTGCACAGTATTCTTATTTAAGTTACAATAGCTTTTTATTTTATGCCTATAATCTCCTCATGGCCTCCGACAGGTTTTACCAAACAAAATCTAAAACACGTGTAAAAGATATATGGTTTTGTAGTCCTATATCGTATGTTCACATCAACAATCTAGTTCAATAAAATTCTCGGAATCTGCACGCCATTTGGTTTCCTCGCTGACACAAAAAGATGGCGGCGAAAAAGTAGGACAAACTCTAACGCCTAAAACAGAAATAAATTCGTCTTTGTACCAAATCAAGAATGACACGATCCAACATGCTCGTCGAACGACCTGATTCTTTTTTTTTAGATTTTAGTAAATCTCGGAAGTAGTTGAACAACAAAAGTTTAACTTTTTAATCATCAGATCAAAATATCGAAATATAATTATCAGCATTCTAAACACATAAATGAAATTCTGGATCACTCGCAGCTTCCACATCAGTATTCCATACAGCAAATTCGCAAATTAGATACAGCAACACACATAAACAAAATACTTTGATTAGTGATCCACACACTTCGTGTAGCACACCTCCTTTGATGAATGGAACATAATTTCTCACGACACAAGATTACACTGCGACCTATTTCCCAAGTTCCATCCGAAATTCACTCCATCACAGCATGAGGATACAAGACGGATCAATTTGAATATTCAACGGTTAGCGAACAAGAGTTTGATAGTCTAGAAGCTTTCTGTTATAGACCAAGCAAAGATACAAGGAAACTTTCCCCTTAGCTTGTTAGTGGAAGCAGAGGAGGTAATTTTACAGTTTGGCAGTTTGTGGTAAGCATTCTTGGTATTAATCAAGTTAGATATCGATGCGGTAGACTTTATTAAACAGTGGATGATAACGAGA